GATTGAGTTACTTGAGCCTGACGCTAAGCTATAGAGGAGTCCGAGCTCAACGAGGAGAAATTTAGCGCGCTAATTAGATTCCACTCACTATCAGTGATCTTTCACATTTAATGTGCATAACTGTAAGCTTTAGGCAAATACCATGCAAAATTTGCTTAGTTTTGTTGTGGGCCCACTTTTTGTTGATCAAAATCAAACGGTCTTCTTTAATTAAAGCTAAGCTGCTAAGGCTGCTGAAAATGTATTATATCAATAATTTTAATTATTTAGTTGAATAATTTAATTATTGTGAATATAAATTCCCTAGTATAATTTTTATTTTTATTTTTATTTTTATTTTTTAAATTTAAAAGAAAAAAATGAATTCAAATGTACTCTTTAAGTAATTTGATAAAATTCCTTTTACATCAAGTTTTTTATACCCATTATGTCAAGTTCTCTAATAATATATTACTATGTGTTTTATTTTTTAAATCTTAGTATTTAATGACGATAGCACCATGGTTGAAGCATAAGTTGGGGAAAAAATTGGAAAAAAAGAGAGATGAAACTATGGCGAGTGGATCCAATGTCGGCGTACTATATTTCCGCCCTTGGACAATCCTAGATAGATGCTTGGGCCTTTTACTTGGTAGAAAGATACTATCCCCCGTCTTTAATATAAAAGCTAATTGACTAATTTAAATAGATAGGTGTTATCTTTGTTAAAATATCTTGTAATCATATGTATTAGTTAGAATTACTATTTGATAAAATTTTTAATATATGTAACTATTATGAGGATTACTTTAAACAAATTAAAATGGATAAATATGACAATGGCACCGTGGCTGAAGTGTACGTGCGGAGGATGTAAATGCGATATGCAAGAACAACTTCTAGAGATGAATGAGCGGGATCAGCTCTATGACTTTGTGATGGGATCAGACGAAACATTTGGAGCTGTGAGAACTCAAGTACTTAGCACAGAGCCTACAACAAGATTGGGCAATGCGTAGCTTACCAGCTGGTGGCAGAAGACGAGCAACGTAAGAGAGGGCAAATATGAGCCATGCGTGGGAAAACCAGTCATTGAAGAGGCAGCATTCCAAGCACAAACCACCAAAGGCTACTCTGGTCGGAGAGATCGCAAACGGGACAAGTCAAAATGTGGACATTGTAAAAAGACTGGGCACATCTACTCCGATTAAGTTAGCAAAGCACCTCAGTCGTGAGGAAGAGCAGTAAAAGCACAAGAATCATCAGCCAGGGGCAAATATGGCAGTAGCCCTTGGATCATAGATTCTGCAGCCTAGGATTTGGGAGCCACAAGTATAATGAGAGGTAAATTCGCAAACAAGATTTATTTTAATATAATTTTTAATTAAAACACATACCACAAGAATTGTTTCAAAATATTCTTTAACGACGTTATCAAAATGGCAAAATAGAAAGAGTGGTTAGAATATTTTACTTTTCATAATATAACTCACTTGAAAGTTGTTTATTACCACTTCTCAATTTTACCTCTATTTATTGGTTGTATAATTTGGTCATTGAGAAATAATTAGAGAGATGTGAGGTGCATGTTTGAATGAGGAAAAAGTTGAAAATTTATTTTAATTTAAGATAGATTTAGTGAGTTAATTTAGTTTTGGTGAGGGACTTGAAGACAGGGCTATGTTTTAGAGGGAACAAGTACAAGATATATATAATTAATTGTTTTTAAATTTGGAATTTCCAAATTTGTTTGACCAAAAAATTTATCAATTTAATTTACATATAATTAATTAATACTAGATGGAGTAGACAAAGATTGCATATTATCTACAAATTATTCGATAAAATAATTTGAAAAAACATTTGAAAGCATTTTCAATTAATTAAAGAATCGCTAATACTACTCCTTACCTTTGGTCAAAAAATAATACTACCTCCGGTCCTAATTATAAGACCCCGTTGACTTATTTGAGGAGATTAAGGAAGTAAGTTAAGTTAGTTATTTGTAATAAATAAGTGTTATCACTCCTAAAATATTCTTGCTAATTAAGTGTATTGGCTAGAACTATCATTATTAGAAGGACTATCTTGGAAAAAAATGCATAAATATGATAGATAAAATGGATTGGGGTCTTATAATTAGGACCAAACAAAAAGTCAAATGGGGTCTTATATTAAGGACCGGAGGTAGTATTGTTTAGTCAATAAAGAGTGGGCCCACCTACTAAAACTTCGCTAGATATTTGCTTACGCTTGGGGTCTTACGTGCATTGACTTTGACTATAAGTGAGATCGATCCCTGAGTGCGAGGTGCCCTACCCCCACCGATCGAAATTAACTACGAATCCCTTCCTTCTGCTCTCACGACCCAAAATCATATCTCGGTCGCTCGCTCCCTGATATGGCTTTTGATGAGACTGATGAACTGGAAGTCGCTCGCATTCTGCTTCGATTTCCTATTTTGATCGACCATTCTGAGGCTCGAAGCATGTTTCCTTTCTCCTGGGGCTCCAAGAAGAAGCCATCAATGCGCAGGCCCACTCCGTTGAGTCGCTGGAAAAGGCCTCTTCCGTTCCCAAATTCAAAGAACATCAGAAAAATCACCCTGAAGAGATCACCAAAAACATCGCAGAACCATCATCATCATCATCGGAATCCCTCCTCGAGACTTGTTGATAATAACAGAAGATCGTCGCAGAGGAAGAAGGTCAAACAGTCTTGTGCTGAATCTTCAGGTCCTTTTCTCCTCCCTGATCTGAACGTTCCTCTGTTGACCGGAGAAGAAGAAGAAGACTGTACTGGTACCTGTGAAAGCAAGGATGGAATAAGCCCACGCTCCGTCTCGGCGCGCGATGAAGATGGAAGAAATCGTTGCTGTTCTGCCAAGAATCTCATTGTCCGAGTCAAATTCGGTTCAGATGGAAGAAACGATTAGGATATGTGACTGACTGTAATTAGCTAGGGTTTCGTTTGTAGTTAATTCCTTATTTTGTTCATTAACGGTTTATCACGTAACTACCATATGATTGCAGCTTGACCCTCCATTAATTATTTGTGCAGATACAATTTTGTTTTGCTGACTGATCAGTTACATAGAGGAGCATCATATGCTTCTCTCTTATTTTTGTGTGTTTATAATTACGTTTATGTTTTATGATAGATTCATGCTTCTATGTTGGTTTGATTAGGTTTTCTTGAGCTTCGCATAATTGGTGGTGCGCAAAGAACCTAATTTATTAGACACCCACTTAAGACCAGTAATAGTGGCTAACCAACCCGCTAGCAAGTTGGCTTTTCTAACTAGGAATTCAATTCACTTAATGATTCCCAATAAATTTCTTTTTTTTTTTGGCAAGAATGTTTTCTACCCAGCCTTCACATTATAGCTGATGGATGGTCAAATGTACCCTCTAGGTGATCAACAATCCACCACTAGCAAATCGATCAAAAAGGATCAAGTTAAGGGGACAGTAGAGGAAGTCTGAAACGATTAGGGAGGTGCAACAGTATCCTTCCCTCTTGACAAAATTTACACAACAGGCTAAGAAAAAAAAAAAAAATTTTTTTTGACCGAAAAAACTTGTTCGAATGGGTGTAAAAGCCAAGCAAAAGGTGAAGTTGACACCTCAAAAGTTAATAGTTCCACTCATTGATCCGGTTGTTGTCGTGAGATTAGCAATCTTGTGAGTTGCAAGAAATGAGCTAAATAGCATGTTAAATAACATGTTATTATCTCTGGTTCTAATTATAAGACTTCGTTTATAAACTATAAATAAGCTGTTATAATTAGGATCAGAGGTAGTGATTTTTACTTAGTTTCCTTATTTTCTTTAAATTAATTAAGTGGCTTCTCTAAAGACGGGAGAAGTATTTTTTGGGACTTACCATTATGTATAAAGGGTATGTGCTTATTCAGATTTATTTCCAGCACGTTGTATAGCAATAGCATGTATCTTAAGGGAAACTATGGCATATCTAATTACAAATAATTGGCTTGAACTATAAAAAAAATAATGATAACGCAACCTGTCAATTATATTTATATCAATAGAAAATAAGAATAAAATGAAGTTATTTAGCTGGTGGCCTTGGCCTGTGCCATAATGTCAGTAAACTTATAATGGTTTCTTATAAATTTACTATTTAAAATAAAGTAAAATTTCAAAAATACAATATAATACAAAAACTAGTCAGCAACCTTTTCTTAAGAATTTCTGTTATTTGAAAAATAAAATAATTTGTAAACTGGTTTGAAAACAGCTAATTAGGATCAAATTTATAATTATTTTTTATTATTTATTTTCATATACTATTTTTTATACTTTATAATTATAAATGTAAACATTAAAATAAATAAAATAATAAAATAATATTGCATCAATTATATTTTACACCAAACATTATTATAATTAAATATTTTTAAAAATAAATGAAAATATTTATTATTATTAATATTTTACCATATTTAGTAACTTAACAATATACTTTGCTGCTAATTTTCCTATTTGTGATGAGGTAATTAAAAATGAGTCACGGAGCGTCTGTCCCTATAAATTTTACCACCCATGTTTGTGTGTATATATCAAACACAACAAAGTTCCTCAAAATGTCTCAGAAAGATTGAAGAGCTGGTAGCTGGTGATTAGCGAGCAGGAAGGAAGACGTCTTCCCCGTGAATTTATACAACTCAATCAAGAATTTCGCTGCCCATAATCTGATTAATTCCACCGGCGCCGATTACCAGAGTCTGCCGACCTATTTTATCCGTTGTTAATCTCCACGCTGGTATCTATCCTCAACCTTCTTTCATTTCTTAAATGTCGTCTTGCGTTGTGCTTCCAAGATCATTCGTTTCCTTTCGAATTTTCAGATTGCCGTAAGAGGAAGAACGATTCTTTGTGGCATTTCTTGTTCCAAGATAATGTAAAGATTATCCTCGACTGCCGTCCCCGACGGTAATTATTAATTACGAAGATTCAGATTCGATAAACGGCAAGAGGGCGGAATTGTCAGAAGGATCGATGATGCAGAATTCAGAAGATCACGCCAGTTCCACTGACCAGCAGCCGTGGCCGGAACCACCGTCTATCTTGCGCCTAAAGGACGAATATGTGGCACCAGAGCACGAAGAATTGGTTCGACTTACTCTAGCAACCGGTTCCAATTACCAGTCGCCGCCACAAAAGCCACCGCCTCCTCCTCCTCCTCCGGAATTTCCTCCCCATCCGTCTCTTCTACAACTAATGCCTCCATCCTCCTCCTTCGCAGGATCATCGGAACCACCGCCTCAATCACAACCCCGTCTTTCTTTCTTACAACTGTTGTCTCAGTTCTCCTCTCAATCACCGGAACCACAGCGTTTCATTGCTTTACCGTCATCCCAGTTTAATAACATCTCTAACCTACAGCCTCCATTCCTTCCAGTGCCGGCGCCACCCATATCACAACTCCATCCGTCTCTTTTACTGCCTTCATCCTTCTCACAGCCACCGGCAGATGAAACATCAGAAGGCCAAGCTCATCGTCGGCCCAGTGCCAGACGTCCACGTAACTACAAGAAGCCAGGATGGGAGCCCACCATAAAGCCACCATATCCATGGGCTTCAAACATTAGGGCAAAGGTTTTAAGCATGGAGGAATTAATATCCAAGAATATGATCGTAATAAGTGGGGAGGTTTATTGTAACGAGTGCAAGAAGCAGTTCCAGATGGAGTACGATTTGCGATCCAAGTTCTCTGAAGTTGTTAGCTTCATAGCTGGGAATGTGGGAGGTATGCATAATCGAGCACCAGATGTTTGGTTAAAACCTGGGGGCTTAGACTGTAAGTTGTGTGATAGAAAAAAGTGTGTTCAACCAGTGATCCCCTGCAAGAAGAGAAACACGAATTGGCTTTTTCTGTTTTTGGGGCAAATGATTGGATGTTGCAATCTCTATCATCTCTGGTACTTCTGCAAGCATAACGACAAACATAGAACTGCAACCAAAGATCGATTGGTTTATTCAGCATATGCCACTTTGCACTCTCAATTAGATCCCAGCAAAGCTTCTGATCTGTATAATAACTAGCTTTTGGATCCATGTATGCACTGTTTCTCAAGGTTTAGGCCTTTTTCTTTCATCTTAACTGTGCTACTGATACAGTTTATTTTTGGTTTCAATAACTAGCTCGACGCGAGAGCTTCAGATCTATAATTAGCTTGGATATATATATATATATATATATATATCAGTGAGAGTATGCTTTGATTTTCAATGTTCAGGATTAGTACTCAATGTTTAGGATTAGTACTCACCTGGAAGCCAATGAGGAGATCCAGATAAGGCTTAAGGATTTTGATTATTAGTTAATGAGAATTACAAGTTCAATTACTCTTTCCAGTCCAACAATATAAGACATCGATTGGCAGAAAATTATGGTCCAAATTGTATGACGTTGTCCACATAATTAATGTGATTTTTTTTATCACTTTTGCCCATATTAAATATAGGAGAGAGATGAGAGAGAATAAAAGTATAACATTGAAAGCAACTTTGTAATTTTTTAGGAGTAAGATAGGAAAATTTTATCATTTTATGAATATTTAATAACTAAATTTTCATTTTTTAGAATGTGAGAAAAGTTAACCGACTTTTTATATCATACTGGAGGGACTACAACTGCTTTTCAGAAATCGAATACTTCTCGGTATTGAAGCTCAATGAGTTGGTTATGGCAAGAAATAACTTTAATTGTAACTAATTATTAATGAGAATTACAAGTTGAGTAGCAACAGATATTTTTCATAAAGGAGGAGGGGGACAATTTGACAAATTGACAAGAAATAATTAATGTTAGAAAAGATCTATGGACTACTCTGGCGGTCTCCACATGCAATTTCGGCTGTCCCTCCTTGTTATTTGGAATTTGAAAACCAAACTAAACATAGATCTAGATGATTTAAATCCCTTGTTCGAATAATATTTAGGATTATAAATTTAATTTAGAGAATTTTCTAATGCTTAACTAAATTCTTTATTCATATACCTACTTTTTTTTTTGGAGACATATACCTAAATTTTTTCACATTTTCCAAGGTTTTATATTAATCTTGAATTATGATATTGGCCTGATAGAACATTGGCTTCGAAGAGGATAGGCTCAAAGAAGATGGGTTTTTATATATTCCTATTGCCATTTCTTTCTTTGTTCGCTTGTAAATTGCTTTGTTGGTCCTTCTTTGATCAAATTTCCTTGAGTCTTGTATTGGTGTTTTGTATTTCGACTCTATATAATGAAATCATATTTGCCGGTAAAATTTTTTCAAATTTTAATTTCCTTCCAGGTAGAACAAAAAGTCTTAAGTTTCAAAATAAACTTTCGTTTCCTTTTTAGTTTATAATTTAATTTAGTTTTTGTTAATCAAGATAAAGAGATAAATAAAGATCAGATTAAATATATTTTAGAATACGCGATAATCAAATTTTAGAAATGTAAATCGGTAAAGTCATGTTGTAGTATTGATTTTCTAAGTCACAAATCAAGGTTTCATTTTTTTTCTCCTCCATAAAATAAAATTATCAAAGTACCATGTATAATCACAGGAGCACATGTCATGCTTATCGCAATGAGCATGAATTGCTCATTGTAATCTGGACCATCCAGATGGATATTAGATGGTCTGGATTGAATTTAATTTGTTAAATATATTTTTATTAATTTTTTATTTTAATAAATATAGAATTTAAAATAAAAATAATTAGCTAACATATTTTGAAAAAAATAAATTTATTATTTAAAAATTGCATACTAAAAATCTTAAATCTAAATTATCCATATCAATTTTTGGATGATCTAGATTGCATCACAAGGATAAATACATGGTACTCATTGCTATGAATATGATGGGATTTACATTCGGTGCTCATTAGTTTTGATGAGCACCTAATACTCATCAGATCTGAACTGTCCAAAATTTAATCTGGACGGTCCAGACTTATTTTTATTTTTATTTTATTTTTTAAAAATAATTATTTTAGTAGGTATAGGATAAAAAATAAAAATAATCTCTTAACTATCATTCTTTAAAAATATAATTTTTTCTATTTTAAAATAATTATTTAATAATACTAAATCTAGACCGTCCAGATCTAATCTGGACAGTCCAGATTGCTCATCAGGTGGTGAGCATTGGGTGCTCATCACCTGATGAGCACCGAATGGGGACCCAAATATGATGAGCACTAATTGAGTACTCACACAATCATAGTTATTAACTAAATTTAGTCAGAAGGAAAACAACAATAGCAAATCAACCAACACTTATACTATTAGTGACAGACACATGGTCAACTTGAACATCACAATTTAGTAATTTCAAAAGATGAAGTGGTGGGAAAAGAACCTAATTAATTTGAAGGACACCCGCATAAGACTAGCAATTAATGGCTAACCACGCTGCACAATAGGCTAGGCAAAAGAAAATTTCATTCTTTGGCTGCAAGAGCTTGCTCGAACGGGCGTAAAAGCCAAGCAAAAGGTCAAGTCCACACCTAAAAAAAAAGCTGTCATGAGAGTCCTCATTATCGGAGTTCTTCAAGATATAGCATGTTATTAAATGGAAAAATAGCATGCTATTAAATGACATATTAATTTGGAAAAATGACCAAAAAAAACACCTGTTAAATTTTAAAAAGACAAGTGATGCTGGCTATTGTTATAATGGTTTTGACTAGTTTTGTAATGATTTTAACATGTCAAAATCATCTATTTGTAATTTTAAAATTTAACATGTATTCTTTTAATCATTTTTCCTATTAATCTTTACTTATTTTCCTTAAATTAATTAATTGCCTTCTAGATTAAAGGCAAGAGAAGTATTTTTGAGACTTACCATCATGTATAAAGGGTATATAGTTATTTCGATATATTTCCAATTTTCCACTACATTGCATGGCTATAGCATATATCTTAAGGGAAAGTAAGGCATATCTAAACAGAAATAATTGGCTTGAACTGTTAAAAAAAATTTAATCATAATGCAATGACTTCCCGTCAATTATATTTGTATTAATCCAATTAAAATAAGAATAAAATGAAGTTATTTAGCTGGCGGCCTTGTGCCATAAAGTCACTAAACTTGTAAATATTAAAATAAAAAAATAATATTGTATCAATTATATTTTAACCAAAAATAAATATTATAATTAAATATTATTAAGACAAATAAAAATATTTTTCACAGTGGTGATGAGGTAATTAAAAAATGAGCCAGGGAGTGCGCGTCTCTATACATTCAAACATCCATGCGCGCGCGCGCGCGCACACGCATATAAACACATGAAAATTCATCAAAATGTCTCAGCAAGATTGAGTTGGGGATTAGCGAGTAGGGACGAAGAGGTCTTCCCCGTGAACTTATACAGCTCAGTCAAGAATCTCGCCGCCCATAATCTGATTAATTCCGCCGGCGCCGATTACCAGAGTCTGCCGACCTATTTTATCCGTTGTTAATCTCGCCGGTATCTATCCTCAACCTTCTTTCAATTCTTGATGGTCGTCTCGCACTGTGCTTCCAAGATCATTCGTTTCATTTGGAATTTTCAGATTTCCGTAAGGAAGAAAAGCGATTCTACTCTTCCCAGATTCTTTGTGGCATTTCTTGTTCCAAGAAAACTGAAAGATTGTCACTGACTGCGATCCCCGACGGTAATTATTAATTACAAAGATTCAGATTCTATCTTGAAAAGCAGAAACGGCGAAGCAAGGGCGGAGGGATCGAAGATGCAGCGTCCAGGAGACGACGCAGGTTCCACTGACCAGCAGCCGCCGCCGGAACCACCATCTATCTTGCGCCTAAGGGACGAATATGTGGAACCAGAACGCCAAGAATTGGTTACTCTAGCACCAGGCTCTAATTACCAGTCTCCGCCACAAAACCTACCGCCTCCTCCGGAATCACCACCCTTTCCGTTTCTTCTACAACAAATGCCTCCATCCTCCTCCTACTCACGATCATCGGAACCACCGCCTCAACCACAGTGTTGCCTTGCTTTACCGTCATCCCAGCGAAATAGCATCTTTATCCAACAACCGCCATTCCTACCAGCGCGGGCATTACCCATATCAGAACTCCATCCTCCTTGTCTTTTACTGCATTCATCGTCCTCACAGTATATAGAATCAGCGACGAATAGCATCTTTATCCAACAGCCACCAGCCCTACCAGCGCCGGCGCCACCCATATCACAACCCCATCCGTCTCTTTTACTGCCTTCATCGTCCTCACAGTATATAGAACCAGCGCCGAATAGCATCTTTATCCAACAGCCACCATTCCTACCAGCGCCGGCGCCACCCATATCACAGCCCCATCCGTCTCTTTTACTGCCTTCATCGTCCTCACAGTACACAGAACCAGCGCCGAATGGCATCTTTATACAACAGCTGCCATTCCTACTAGCACCGGCGTCACCTATATCAGAACGCCATCCTTCACGTCTTTTACTGCCTTCATCGTCCTTACAGTATATAGAATCAGAGCCGAATAGCATCTTTATCCAACAGCCGCCATTCCTACTAGCGCCGGCGTCACCCATATCACAACCCCATCCTCCTTGTCTTTTACTGCCTCCGTCTTCCTCATGGTATATAGAATCAGAGCCGAATAGCATCTTTATCCGACAGCCGCCACTACTACCAGGGCCGGCGCCACCGATATCAGAACCCCATCCGTCTCTTTTATGGCGTTCATCGTCCTCACAATATATAGAACCCGCGCCGAATAGCATCTTCATCCAACAGCGGCCATTCCTACCAGCGCCGGCGTCACCTATATCAGAACGCCATCCTTCCCGTCTTTTACTGCCTTCATCGTCCTCACAGTATATAGAATCAGCTGAGCCGAATAGCATCTTTATCCAACAGCCGCCATTCCTACTAGCGCCGGCGTCACCCATATCACAACCCCATCCTCCTTGTCTTTTACTGCCTCCGTCTTCCTCACGGTATATAGAATCAGAGCCGAATAGCATCTTTATCCGACAGCCGCCATTAATACCAGGGCCGGCGCCACCGATATCAGAACCCC